CCATCACTTACAATGGAAGATATCTGTGTTACTTCAACAGAAACCAAACACCCAATACAAAACACACATGCTCTTTCTGTATAATGCCTGCGAGATTTTAAAAGCTTTACATAACTGACTGGATTAAACATATATTAATCCAATTCATTCCTTTCTTGTTATCCAAAGCATGCACTCAAAAATGTTCCAGCTTTGTCCTAGCAGTCTGTGCCTTCCATATCATTTTAGTGTTAACTAAAAACAACTTATCAGCCATCCATCCCATCTTGGTTTTTCACATCATTACCTCCCAATAATTGCAGATGTAGCCCTAAACCCAAGGTAGATGTTTAAGAGTTTGATAGATGGTCAAGCTATGGAATTTACAGTCTGAGCAGTAAGTGACAGTCAAAACAATGCTGGCAGCACGTCTGTTGTGTTGCAAGGACCGGGATTGTGATAGCTACAAGCTGAACTATAACCCAAGTGTTACCTCAGTCCATTTACACCAGAAAGCAGATGAAAGTCAGGTAAGAACATGGAAGCAGAGAAAGGCATGTGGACTTTGCCTCATCTCATTAGGATCCAGCAGAGGAAAGAGGGAACCCCAAAGATTTCTAAATGCGGGGTCATCTTTCTCCTCTTGGCCGCCTTCTCAAATTGCAATGCAGGGCCATTAACAGAAGGTCTCCTCCAGCTTGGGCGCCCAGGGGCTGCAGAGGCCAGGGAGTCGCAGGCCCCTGCTAACCAAGAGGCTGCAGAGCTGAGGCTTGGACCCAGGAACAGGCGGAGCACACTTGACCCCCTTGGCGGCCACCGCCCCAGGCCTTTTTAGTGGGTGAGGAGCGCTGTCCTCGCACCAGTGGGCGCGCCTGGAGGAGAGAGAGCATGCGCGAGAGGTAGCCCAGACCTTGGCCAGAGGCCACCCGGGGGCGGGGCCGTGGGACTGCGCACGCGCGCAGAGACACATAGGCGGAAGTGGCGCGCGGCGCCGGCACCGCGAGGACCTGTGCGCGGAGGCGGCAACCTGGCGGAAGGTGCACGATTAGCCCCAGCGGAGGAGAAGCAGGAGGTGATGGCGACGGACATGGGAGGGGGAGACGCTCTCTGGCTGGCGCCACCCAGTCTGGGGTCCCCGGAAGGCTCGCGAGTGGACGTGCCTCTCGGGCCTTTCGTCCTATTTGGGACCCGACCGCCCCGCCCCCCGGGACCCCGGAGACCCTCCCCTCATCCCTGGGGGCCCGGCGGGGAGAGGCGGGGGTTGGGATGGAGAGCGCGGGTCCCTCCCGCTGTGCGGACCAGAACCTGCCCTCGCGGTGTCCAGGGAGGGGCGCTGCTCTCGCCCCATTTCGCCCTCCCGCCGGCGAGGACGCCCTCCCTCCCGCCTGGGGCGCGGGTCGCAGGCCCGCGGCCCCGCTCAGGGCCTCGCAGGCTCGGGGGAGTGTCCGTCCCGGTCCGAGCCTGCAGCTCGGTTGGGAGCTGCTTCCGGGTTCCACGTTACGTAGGGCACCGCCGCCCTTTTGATTAGCAGTGCAAGGTGTTTGTTCTTACAGGTTATTAAATTCGTGTCTTAAACCTGCGCTAGAAGCTATGCTGATCCTCCAGTCTTTGCAGCTCAGTTCTCTCCCCAACCGTTTTATTTTCCTTTTAAATGTTGAACGAAGGCCTGGAGATTTGGTGTGCTAAAAGAGTTTTGGTTTTTTTTAGTGTGGGACATAATCAGGAGGATAGCAGATGTCGAGAACTGTTTTTGGGATAAACACTTTCCAAGTGAATTGAGATAGTTTGTGACTTGGAAGAGAAAGAGATAGCAGCATTTGAAAATAATTTATACAAGTGTGTCTTATACTTACTATATATGAAATCTATAGATAAAATCCTAAGTTTAGCTTTATCGCTTGGGAAAAAAAGAGTAACCTTCAAAAAGTATCCCATGGTTTCTTTTGTATAATGATATGTGTATAAAGAATTGGGACCGCATTTATTATTCTCTGTTTTAATCATTCCCCATAGGTCATGATTGGTATCCAGAGTCCACTTAATCTAACTATAATAGTAAGATCCTTTTATTTGTAGTAATGAGTGTGACAAAATACAGAATCAAGCTTACTTCATATTACTTACACTGAAATGGCATAATTTCCTCATATTTTTCCCTTTTGCTGTGGAGACTTCTTTTTAAGGTTGGAAAAGATGGGATTAAGAAATTTAATGAAATACTTTTGACTTCAGTAGGTCGTTGTAAATGAACATTATCACAACATTTTTAAATTTACTATGTGCTAGAAATACTGCTTTTTTATTCAGTTTTAGCTGTTATTTGTGCCTCTAGGTAACTAACATTAAATATCTGTGTTATCTTTAGTAAGAGGCCTCAGGCAGTGAGTCACAGCTCTGGGTTGTTTTTTTTTTTTTTTTTTTGTACTTGGTTTCAAGAGTTACTGTAAACTTCTAAAGCAAAGCAAAATGTTGATTATTTAATTTGAAATGTCAACCAGTGTTAACTTTATGCTTGATTTTTTTTTCCCCTGCACCACAAAGACATTGGTCTTATTTCTTTAGATGTTGATTAGTGTCATTAATGTCTGAAATGGAAGGGATATAACAAACATTTAAGATCACAATTCTTTCAGAGCTCACAGGGTCTTCATCAGTCACATCATCTGACAAATGGTGTTCTGATTTTTTTTTAATATATTTTATTTATTTTTTTTACAGAGAGGAAGGGAGAGGAATAGAGAGCTAGGAACATCAGGAAGGGAGAGGAATAGAGAGCTAGAAACATCAGGAAGGGAGAGAGTTAGAGAGCTAGAAACATCGATGAGAGAGACATCGATCAGCTGCCTCCTGCATACCCCCTAATGGGGATGTGCCTGCAACCAAGGTACATGCCCCTGACCAGAATCGAACCCGGGACCTTTCAGTCCACAGGCCAATGCTCTATCCACTGAGCCAAACTGGTTTCGGCGATGTTCTGGTTAATAAAACTGCATTCTAAATGCAAGCTTTAAAAGGCAGGTTTTCTAGTGCTGATGCCTCATAAAAGCAACAGAAGTGGATTTATCTCCATGTTCATTGTAGATGCTCTGTGGAAAATTTCAGTGTGTATGTCAATATTTGGCACAGATGTCCAAGAAGTAACAGTGCTACAGGGATTTAAGCATGTCGGGTATAGGTCTGTGGCTCATAAGGTTGCCAGTAGGTGTGTTGAAGTGATAAAGTATTAGAAAGAAGAGGAATACTATTGATTAAATAGTTTTTACTAAAGTTCAGTAGAGTCCTTCATTTAATATGTTACACTTTTAAGTTTATAGTTTTAAATATTCAAAACAGAGTTCATTCTAGTCTTAAAATTATTAATTATTGTGCTATTTTCCGTAACATCAACTATAGACCTACTTTTGCCCCACCATGTATAAATCCAAAGAAAATCAACAGTTATCTATGGAGCCTTCATGATTTTTTTTAAATTTTTTTTTACAGGCTAACAGAAAATTGTGTGTTTCTCAGCTTTTTGCAATCCCAAAGACTTTTTTTTCCCCAAAGACTTTTTTCTTTCGTTTTTAACAGCTTTATTGAGGTATAACTGACATATATTTAAAAATAACCTGAACATTTAATATATACAATTAGATGAATTTGGATATATGCATATACATGTGATACTATCACCATAATCAAAGTAATAAACATCTATCACCTCCAAAAGTTTATTTCCCCTTCTGTGTCTGTTTGTATGATTAAGAATGCTTGACACACCGAAGCTGGTTTGGCTCAGTGGTAGAGCGTTGGTCTGCGGACTGAAAGGTCCCAGGTTCGATTCCGGTCAAGGGCATGTACATTGGTTGTGGGCACATCCCCGGTGTGGGGTGTGCAAGAGGCGGCTGGTCGATGTTTCTCTCTCATCGACGTTTCTGGCTCTCTATCCCTCTCTCCTCCTCTCTGTAAAAAATCAATAAAATATATTAAAAAAAAAAAAAGAACGCTTGACACGAGATCTGTGCTTTTAACAAATGTTAAGCGCACAACAAACACCTTTTTTTTTAAACTATTGGCACTATATTGTATAGCAGATCTCTAGAATTTACTCATTTTGTTTAACTAAAACTTTACAACCATTGAACAACACCTCCCTAAAGACTTTTTAAATTATTTTCTCCAAAGACAGCATTTTTTTACCTAAGAGTTGCTATGCTGTTGCCAAAGTATATCCTCCTTTCTTTAGTTTCTCATAAACCTAGCTTTTTAAGTCATTTACAGTTGTTAGACTTTATTTTAAAATGTCATTAGCAAATATATTTCTTAGTATATGAGAAGCATTAGTAGTTGTTTACTCTTCTGCAAATAAGAATTGACATTAATGTGAAGATGTCAAACTGTCATGGGCTTTAAAAGTTATATTTTTCTGCCGAAACCAGTTTGGCTCAGTGGTAGAGCGTCTGTCTGTGGACTGAATGATCTCAGGTTCGATTCCGGTCAAGGGCATGTACCTTGGTTGCGGGCACAACCCCGGTTGGGGGTGTGCAAGAGGCAGCTGGTCGATGTCTCTCATCGACGTTTCTAGCTCTCTATCTCTCTCCCTTCCTCTCTGTAAAAAATTAATAAAAATATATATATTTTTTAAATTATATTTTTCTACATATAACAACATAAAGGTGTGTTTACTTTGATGAAATAAATAAGAGATTAGCTTTTGGAAATGAGAATGAAATATGCTTAATTTAATGATGTATGGTCTTTATTAGGTGAAGATGGAGAGTTGACATGTTTTTGTTTGATTGGAAGATTGAATAGGAGAATTAATATATTAATATCCAGAGACTATGAGATTTATCTGTATAATTTTTAAAGTGTGATTTGAAATATTATTCGGAACATAATACTTTATGATCCAAATGTTTTGCTTACATGCATATTTTCTTCTTTAGGACTTAGCTCAGCGAGCAAAAGAAAAACTGAACAAAGGAGAGGAAACCAACAAAGATACCTTTGGAAAATCTGAATGTGGCAAAATAAGAACAATGGATCTCAAGTTCAACAACTCCAGGAAATATATTTCTATAACTGTCCCGTCCAAAACCCAAACAATGTCACCACACATCAAGTCAATAGATGACATTGTAGTGCTTGGCATTAATCTTAGCAGATTTAGCAAAATTACTCAATTTTTCATATGCGTTGCTGGGGTTTTTGTGTTTTACCTCATTTATGGATATTTACAGGTAAGAAATAGTTATTTGTTTATGGTAATTATAATAGTTATGGTCAATAAGAGCACTTAAGAGTTTTGTTCAAGATATTTTTCTTTATAAGTTACTGATTTACTCACAAATTTGAAGTTTTCAGTATAGTAGTAGAAAAGGGTCTCTTAACAGTAAATCTGCTTCGCAGAGGTCACAATTTCAGAATTCCATATTTTAAGTGAGGGAAAGAGCAAAGAAAATCTTAAGAAATTAAAAGTATGAAAAAATATTTAACAAAATATAGATAATGTAAGCATGTATAATATTTGTTTTTAAAAATGAATAATTCAAGTATTGATTGGTTTCTGGCACATAGTTCTCCATAAAAATTTACTATAATGATAGCACAAAAGGTATATTCCAGTTCATTCTTCATTCTTGGAGCTTAATAATAGCAGGTCAGTTTTGAAAAAAGCTTATACAGATGTTTTATATTTTTCCAAGGGTATCGCTTTGATCCTGTGATCATTGAATCCTTTTTTTTTTTTTTTTGAAACACCTATTGTATTTTCATTCTTATTAGTTTCTTTTTCTATTTTAACTTTGGCAGAACCTTTTTTTTTTTTAACTGCCAAACATTCTAACATTTCCACAGTTTGACTCACATTTGCATTGTGTTATGGCATAGTTGTGTACATTTAACCAGCAGTAAATTCCTGACCTTCAAAGACAGGAGCTGGACGGGAGGATCTAGGCCAGTGTAAACAAAATTTTGGAATTGACTAATATTATTAATGGTCAGTTCATTAATATTTTCAGCCATTACCAACTTAGCTTTTTATGCAACTCCCCAACATGAGAGAACCCTTTATAATTCAAGAAAAGGAGGGTGATGTGTTTTGTTTTGTTTTCAAACACAGATATTTCTGATATGCTGTAGTATTAATTAGATTGAGCTTAATCAATGTCTTAAATATAAAATATAAGTATAAATAAAGGTGATTTGTGACTATTCCTTAGCTTATAAAAAATCTATGAAGAGTATTAGTGTAAAACAAAAACATGAATTAAAAAATGTTAATTTTTATAACTGATTTTGCACTACAAAATGCTATAAAAATTCAGATATCACAGTGAAGAACAATAAAAAATAGTAAATTTTACCAAGTAAAATCTAGAATTCTTGCTGAAAACATTTTGTTTTTAAATATCATTTTTACCAAATAACTTGGGAGCAAAGTTAGTCGTTGCAAAGGAAAATGAATTAGAAATTTATTGTACAAGTTTCATTATATATTAATGATCAGAGACTTTAATTTATAGCTAATGTGCAAAGTTTCTTTTAAAATTAGATAAATCACTATAAATATGTTTGTAACCCCATTATCATTGAGAAATTGACGTTGCTACTAAATGACACATAATTGCATATTAAAATAGTTTAAAGAAAATGGTTGGAGTTTTGTACTGAAGTTAGCTATATATTTATATAATCTGAATTCCAAAATACTTAATCAAACTATTTTTATGTTTTATAGTCCATAAACCAGAGAAATCTTTGCAGACTTACTTAACATGAAATCTAAATTTGACAAGTTACGCTTCATCCTAAATGTACAAAGTCTAGTTCAGGGTCTGTTTAGAAGCTGTTTAGTTTTTCTTTGAAAGAAAATTTGTACATAAATCTTATTTTTTAATTTATTTAAAATACAGTTGAAATGCATATTTGTGGGGGAAATCTGCTTTAGTAAAATAACTATTAGAACCCCTCTTAATGACTTTTTAAGAATGTCTTTTAAAGAGTTAATGTAAATAATACTTTATGGTACAACATTATCTTTAGGCAAAATAACCATTTCCTCACAAGAAGAAGTTTTATATATTCTGAGACACAAGATTTCAAAAAATTACTATTAAATTGATTTGAACTGATTATAGTTTTGTAGGAAAACAGGCTGGAGATAATGTTCTTACGAATATGCTTTCTAAACAGTAAATGAGCTCTTGAATCAGATACCTTTCTCACTTTGGGGGCAACTCTTCTAATTTTGGTCTTTTAGAAAGAGAAGGGAAAGGCCCTGGCTCGGTAGCTCAGTTGGTTAGAGCATTGTCCCAGTATGCCAAGGTTGTGGGTTTGATCCCTGGTGAGGATTTAGAGTCGGGTCAGCTAATGAATGCATAAATAAGTGAAACAAGGAATCCATGTTCTCTCTTTCCCTTCCTTTCGCTCTCTTAAACATCAGTAAATTTAAAAAGAGAGAGAAAAAGCACACAATAATGTTGCTTTTATACATGCACATGAGTACAACTAATGGACATAAAACTCTGGGGAGGGAGGGGATATGTGGGAGGGAGGAAGGAAGGGCAAAAAAAAAAATAAAAATATATATATATTAAAAAAAAAAGACTGAAGAAAGGACCTCTTTTCCACTATTTCAAATACTTAATAGCTAATTTCATAACATCACATGTACCATTTTAAGGAAGTGATGATTTAGTGGGAAATTAGTGCTTTGCATTTGTATACTGTAAATATAAATGACGATTTGTTTGAAATGTGTAATTTTGATATGCAAAAGACAATAACTCACAATGTTAATATTCCTTCAAAATAAAAATAAATAAATAAAAAAAAAATAATGTTGCTTTGTTGCTATCCCTCACCTTTTTAATTTTTCTCCTGGTTTTCATACCTGAACATCTAGTGTCAGTTCTTTGGAAAAGCCTCATAACTTCTCTAGTTACACCTCTGAGAAGTGTCATGAAAATGTTGTGTTTATTGGAATTTATTGTGAAGAAATTGGTTGTGCTCTTGAACTTAACAGTATTCATATATCTTTTGACAGGAATTAATATTTTCAGTGGAGGGTTTTAAGCCCTTTGGCTGGTACCTTACATTAGTACAGTTTGCATTTTACTCCATATTTGGTCTAATAGAACTTCAGCTTGTTCAGGACAAAAGAAGAAGGTATGTAGTTTGTTTGTTTTTATTTTTTGACAGTTAAGTTCACTAGTATTAGTTAAATTTTAGTTTTTAGCCACACAGAGTGTAATACATGAAATAAATGTAATAAAACATTTTAATACCCAAACATTTTTAGCAGTTTAATCAACTTATTAAAAATATGAATATGATATTTTCATTATACATTGAAAAAAGTAATCTCTATAAGTTATCAAATAAGAAATATAATTTAGGCTCAACATGTAGTAAGTATATTTTGAAATGAAAAAGCATATGTACCTGTGTGTTTTTATAAACCTCACAGACATACGTGTGATAACTGAAAGATTTACAGTGCTAACTACATCAAAGTAAATTGAAATGCCAGTACCTGTTTTTGTAGTGGGTTTTAAAATGTATAATTAAATTTTGTTTTGTGAGATATATTTTGCTTAACATTGTCATATTTGTAATGTTCAGTGGCTGAAATTGCATTCTTAGACATCAGAGAAATTTCATAATATTCCTTTTCCTCAAAACCAAAGAATCTTGTTTGACAATATGGGTTTTTTGTTCATTTGTTTTTTGTTTTGTTTTATTTTTGTTAATCCTCACCCGAGGATATTTTTCCATTGATTTTTTAGGGAGAGTGGAAGAGAGGAAAGGACAGAGAGAAACATCGATGTGAGAGAAACACATCGATTGGTTGCCTCCTGTACGAGCCCCACCAAGGCCCAGGCCGGGGAGGAGCCTGCAACCAAGGTACGTGCCCTTCACCAGAATCGAGCCCAGGACCCTTTGGTCAACAGGCCAATGCTCTATCCACTGAGCCAAACTGGCTAGGACTGACAATATGTTTTAAATGGCCATTTGGATTGTAGAAACATCTCCATATATTTGTAATGGCATATAGAAAAATACATAATAAAACCTTGCCTCTAATTATAATTAGAAAGTGGTAAGGAAATTGGATATAAGTTTTTGGTAAGTGTGATTATTCTGACATATCAGAGCTAATATGTAAATATTTCACATATATGTTGGGCAGTTTAAAATGTAATAAATCACTCTAATACTATACTGGTATTTTGTCTTCATTGATACAAATGTTTCATCTTTCAGTGAAAATATAAAATTTTCACAGCTTTTTTCTTTAATAAATGTTTCTGATATTTGTTTGGAGATAACTATAACATTTTAAATGTTTTAATTTGTATCATCAGTATTTTTTCATAAGTCTAATTTTATCTCTCAACCTCTCTATATTGCCAATAAATTATTATAGCAGTGATATTAAAAATGTTTGAATCTGAGGATATCTTCTTCACTATTTTCATGCTCTGAAACTCTATAAGATTTAGCCATAGGTGATAGAACAGAAAATAATTAAATATATATGTCAAAACTAATACATAAGGAACCCCATGATTCGTTAACTATTGTAATGTTAAGACATTACAATATTAGTTGATGTTAATAAATGTTAAGTAATTTGGAGATCATAAAAAGAATGGACCTAAATATTGTTACCAAAAAAAATGTTAATGAATATTATTAATACACGGTTACACAAAAATGGTTGTCCTATATAGGTTTCACAGAATGTTAACTTGTTTTGTCAACTTTTTGGCAATATCTTGTCCAAATCTTGCTGCATTATCTTCATAGCATTTTTTACAATATCTTTGAATTTTAGATACTCTTGCAGTTTTTTGTTGTAGTTTGTGATGAGATATTTGAGGTATATTTACAGTACTGCTACTTGGAATTTCTTCATCCTGACAATTTGTTAGATGGACAGCTAATTTCTTCTGAAATTCTGTGATACTCATATTCTTCTTGCTAATATTTTTAAATAAAATATGAGCATTGATAACAGCAGTGTTTAGTAGGAGCTCAAAAGCTAGCTTTTTATACTATTGCATGGATTTTCGTAACAGATTATTATAAGCACTCATTTGATTAGATATATCAACTGTTGCTTTTTTTGCATTATAACCCATTATACCTTTTGGTTTCAAGTTGTGACCTGATCTGTTTTCAACATTCACCATCTCTGATGTATGTTTTGTTGAAAGAAGATGTCCCACTTATCTTTCCATTTTAAAATTGTTATTCCTTTTTTGTTCTCTTTTGCTATAATTTCTCCCCATTTTAATTTCTTTTATATCACTTAATGAGTATTTCCCCGACTTCATGAGTATTTTCCCATCAATTTGAATGTAATGTACTTACTAAATGAGTGTTATTGTCAAGTAATTTATATGCTAAATCTAAACTCATGTACCAGTTGTCTGTGTGCAACGTGTGTCCCTTATTGAATACAACTCTACAAAGAGACATTACAATATTAGTTGATGTGTATATTCTTTTTCTAAACTTTTCCCTGCATATACATGAAAAGCATATGTGTACCCAGATCCACAGCACAACTTAAATAATACCATATTTGTGTCGTTTTTGTTTTAAATATTACCTAAATATTATGCAGCCACAAATGGTATCAAAGATTCATTGATACATATAGCTTCAGATGGATCATACTATTTGTTGAAATTTATTTCCATGTTATCTTTTAGTTATTTTACATAAATGATTGGAAACATCTGTCTCCTTACTGTCAGAAAAATGCAGTATTCGTGATAATATTTCAAATCTATTTCTTGACATTATATTTTGGGGGAAAGTTATAAACAGGATTATGGGACCAATATAAATGTAAAGATGTAATCTAACTAGTCCCATCCATAGAATCAATGCAAAAAAATCTTTCCATTTCATTTTTGTTTGTCACTGTCCTACACAAATGCTGCGAGTTTTCAATCCCCAGTTTTTGCAACACATATAAGTTTATTTGGCGATATCCTCAAACAATTCATTAGGCACAAACAGTTAATAAGAATTCTCTACTGTTGGACATGACTTTATATTCAAGTCTTCAATCCTAGAGCCAGACAGATAGGTGAAAGGCATAATCCTTGATTGATTACCTCTTGGATCATGCCATTCTTCAAAATCCTCATCCTCTGATGACGAAAAAAGAACGACTCTACGACGTTTTTTAGGAAAACTAATTTCACTTGAATCACTTTCACACGCTTTTACTGACATTGTCACTGTTACGGGTAAAGAAATTTTTTAAACTGCACTGGGACACGAACCACAGACAACTGACTGAAGAGAAAGCATTTCTAAAAGAATACAGCGTACAGATTGCGATAGATACATACAAGAAATGTAACGCCGGCATATCAGCGAAGTCAGATATCAGGGCAAATGGAAAGGAAGATAAAACAGCCTTGGTGCTTAAGATGTTAAATGGCACTTTTCTATAGATCTTTCTTAGTTTTTGTCTTTCTTTGTTTTTATGAATACCAGTGTACTTGAAAGAATACAGGATTTGGAGTCAGAAAACAGGGCTTTGAGTCTTGCACTGCCTCTAATCAGCTCTGTCAAGAACTCAGGGAAATTTTTTAACTTTCTGTTTCATTTTGAGAATCAAATGTACATGGTGGTGAAGCACATGGTAAAGTATAATACTCTAAATATATCACTTGTTAGTTTGCAACAAAGATTACCTTGTAACTTTATTACTTTAAGTTTTCAGTGGCAAACAAACGCATAAACCAATTTTAAACAGACTTAGAGGAGTGCTGGGATTTTCATGAGTTCATAGAGCAAGTTGCTCTTAGAATTGGGCCTTTTGAATTTAGGTTTTCTGTGTTTCAGGCTGTGGTCTACCTATACTATGCTGCTTTTCTAATCATTCCTTGTAATTTTTCTGGCTGGAATTTTTTATTTTCTGGCCAGTGTTTGACTAAGGTGACGTCTATCCTTACAGGGAGAAGCAGAGCTGTCCTGCTTCCGTAATGGTATGCACTGGGGGTTAAACCCCACGAACAGAGTGAAAATCGGTGTTCGTGTACACTGATGCATGCGGGCATGCCAGATTATTTCCATGTGGACTTTAAATGTTGACCACTGTATTAGTAGTTAAGTAGGAAAAGGCCTCAGAATTGAAATGTAAGTGGAAATGATGCATTCTAATTGAATTTTTCCAGTAAATTATTTGCCTTACATCTAGCCATATTAAAATATGAAAGAATTTTGTTCCCTTGATTTAAACATGAACACAAATCCCAAAATAGAAACTAGATCTAAGGAGGCAGCATAATGTAATTATGTGAACAGTGCTTCCTGTGTTAGTCACACCAATGTACAAGAGTATTATTTTAGACCATTAAATGTCTAGTCTAAGTGAGCATATGCTCACAGTGATAGCCCAAAATTCTGAAGATGCCAAATTAAGAATTTTCTTTAGAAAATCCAGATAGAACTCAAAGGAGAAGATTTGAGATCATAACAAGAGAGTCTGATTCCTCATCAGGAAGTTGGCTGTTTTAACATTTTACAGAGTACAGATGGAAATAAATCATAAAATATTATAGTAATAAATATTATGTCCAGAGTTTTAAATATGTAATTTTTCTAGAGAAATTCTGCTCCAGTTTTTCTAACAGAATGGGTGGATATACTTTTCCTAATGCTAGATGGAAACATTAAGAAACAGAACAATTTAGAAGTTATAAATTAATTAAGGTACCTTTTACCATTATAAAGGCCAAAATTTATTTTTTTTTCTAAATTTAGTCAAGATAGTTTTTATACCTTATACCTACAGTAAGAATGTAAGTGGGTAATATACCACTTTTTCACACAGTTGAGAATTCTCAATTAAGATTGATTAAATAAGAGTGAGTCATTACTTTTAGTGATATTCTTTTATATGATAAACATAGTTTTAACTTTAAAATAGTGATATTTAACCAATATGTCTGAAAATACTTCACAGAAATAAAAAGAATAAGTAGACATTTACACATTGTAAATACATTATCTAACAAGTATGAATTGGGTCCCAAAATGAAGATTTTAAAAATTGTCTTTTACAGAATACCAGGAAAAACCTACATGATAATAGCTTTTCTTACTGTGGGTACTATGGGGTTATCAAATACTTCCTTGGGCTACCTGAATTATCCGACCCAAGTCATCTTCAAGTGCTGCAAGTTGATTCCTGTAATGCTAGGAGGAGTTTTTATTCAAGGTATAGTAATGATGTATTTTCATCCTGTTTGAAACTAGTAGGCTATATTATAGCATCTAGCATTAGGAAAAAATATTAAACTTTGGTTAATTTAATAAACGTTCTAGATATTATAACAATTCTGAGTGATAATATCTGAAATCAATAATTTGAACTCAGATATAATAAAAATAGTATTTTGTTTTATTCATTTAATCTGGAGTCTACTTACAATTCCAGAAATACTGTATTCACATATTAAAAGCTCAGAAGCACCTAAGTACTGGGAAAGCTCCTTTTTCAGTTATTTCAGTCCTGCACTCTTCAGGGCTCAGTCTCTACCTCCTTATACAAATGGGTCATTCTCATGTTGAAGCTTAACCTAAGCTGAACTGTTTTACCAACTCTGCTGGCTTCTTGATTTCCTAGAGCTAAAGTCAAGTTGCAAGCTCTTTGGAAATAGCAGTGAAAGAGGAGGCAGTCAAAGCAAGAAACAACAGAACAAGTTGTTCATATCATTGTCATGAGGAATACTCATGTGTTGATAATCAAGTGTTTCTGTACCACCAACATCCTTACACAACCTGACTTCATTTTATCCATTAGTTGTCTTCCCAAAAATCCCTTTTAATTAAAGCACATCTGTCAACTACTTTGCATATAATTTCAGGATAACTATTCACATAGGAAAAAACAATGATCTCAGTCCCTATTAAAAACCGCATCTAATGTCATAACTAACAGAGCCCATATAATATTTCCTTTCCTTCCAAGAAGTTACACTACATGGTTTTATTATTTAAATGTGGCTATATTAAAACAAGTTAATACTAATCTAGTAGTTATTTGATCATGTTATTTGTAAACTTAAACAGTTATATAGCCTGAATAATTATTCTGGTTACTTTGTAAACTTGTAAAATAGAAGAAAATTCATAGCTGTATATTATACATAAGGAAAAGGAGGCATTAATTTTCATAAACTTTTTAAGTGTTCATATTAATTTCCATATACTTTTTAAATGTTCATATTTCTCACTACCATAACAGATAATATCTGAAGCATCAGTGCTCGCTGATCATTTAATTTTCAGAAGATCTTCTGTGACTATCTCATGCCTTGACCTCAGTGTTCTTCATATATTTTTGACAGTAGATGTAAAAAGACTCCTGACATCCTTGGTTAAACACATAGATCTAAAACTATGCTGAGTAGGTCTTTCCATTCTGAAGATGACTTACATTTCTATCACACAGGCAAGCGTTACAATGTTGCAGATGTGTCTGCTGCAGTGTGTATGAGCCTTGGCCTGATATGGTTTACACTTGCTGACAGCACAATTGCACCCAATTTCAACCTGACAGGTAAGGAATTTTTTTGTCTTCCTAGATTTTATAGACAGTTCAGTTTACAGTAAGAATTTTTACAACTTTATAAGGATTTTAAATGACGATGTGACACCTGTAACTCTCATCCTATCTAATAAAGATGGAATATCTAATAAAGATGAAATATGCAAATTGATCATCAGTTCGTTACAAAGATGGCTGCACACACAGCCAATAAGGAGGGAATATGCAAATTGATGCAACAAAGATGGCGGCTGGGCCAGGATGCCTGAGTCGTCGCCATGGCAACGAGGCAGGCTTTCCACCCCCACCCTGGCCATTTCAGGCCTCTGGGCAGTGCACAAAGGCAGAAGGCAACAGCCAGAGCGAAGGCCCAGGTTCTAATGCCAGCAGCCAGGGAAAAGAAGGCCTATTGTTGAATAAATCTTCGTACATTGGGCCTCTAGTATCTAACATAAGCTTTCAGACTTTCCAAATAAGATGTAGTAAAAATATTACAACTCTGGAAATATAGCAGTTGTTTTTAGTACAAATGGATCTGATGTGACAGAAAGTTCTTTGCTCAATCAAAATCTGTTATCAAGTACAGTACATGATAGATCATTTTCTTATGGCTGAATTGGAAATATACACATGAATTGTAGGAGAATCACAGTAATTTTTTTATTCTCATTTTTTTAGGTTGAAACTTGCACATTTATTTTTTTTTAAATCACTGGAAAAATGTTTATTTGGTTAGTTATGTTTACAGTAGATAAAGGCTATATAGAGAAAACCAATAAGAGCAGGTACCTGTTGAAGAAGTTACTGATCTATTCACATATCAACAAAATTCTAATAAGACATGCCTCAAAGAATCCCAATCTGGATCCGAGTTGTTGACTATCTTCAATAGACATTTGTTTTTAGTAATAAGAACTACCATTTATTTACATTTATTTGTCATTGTTTTAGCTAAAGAGGGAAAGATATGCTGTGCTTAAATATTAAACTGGGCGATATAAATATGGTCATAACCTTAACATGCTTAAAGTTTCCACAGTAGTGTGCGGAATTTTGTAAATTAATTTTTTTTTCACAAGCAGAATAGGTATTATAGTATGTTTAGAAATAAATAAGGATAAAAAAGTTTTAGAATCTTGTTTTCATTCTAAAGATCTTATAGAGAAACTTTATATATAAATATTGTCATTCTCAACTACTTAGTTTTTCTTCTAAAATTATTTTAGTTTCATCCCATTTCCCCATCTCCTAACCTGACAAAAATTGTATTTAAATATCTAAATCTTCAAAGAAACTCAGAACAGAAAAAATATGTGTATTACATATATATTATAAATAGTACAAAGTATAGTAAGTATAATTATTTGTGAGGAAAAAGTATTACATAATGAAGAAAATAATTTACATCAGCTTCATTATTCTTACCTGTTGTTAGTCAACCTTTCTTACTAATCTGTTTAACCAGGCTACATTATGGGATTAAAATGTAACCAGTTCAGCTTCTTGGAGCTGTCCTTTAAGAACCAGAAGATATGGTAGAACCTTTGTTCTTTCACCTTGGATCATTTGGTGCAACTGATCCTTACTTCAATGAGTTTTACTCAAAGAAAACTTGTTGCTGCAGGTTTTCTAACACGATTTAGATTTTTCAGAAACACTTCATTTTCATATCTGCAAATCTAAAAGGAAGAGTATATTTGAAAACTGAGAAAATTGACCCTTACTTGAGGAAAAGGCAGTTTTAAACAATGAATAAAACTTGCCAACAGTGACATGCCTTCACAATCTAGTCAGAAATATAACCATGGCTAAAGTGCCACCTTCCTTTGCGCTTCTCTTACTTAGAGGTAATGGTGATAGTATGCCTCAGTCTACGACCATATCACCCTGAACACGCCCAACTTCATCTGATCTCAGAAGCTAAGCAGGGTTAGTACTTGGATGGGATATAGTAGCCTCATACGCAGGTGGTGAGAGAACAGAAAGAGACAATGAGGTAATGGGTATGAGAGCATGTACCCTGGTGGGAAGGGGTGATGGTGGTGATTATAATTATGGAAAGAGGTGATCTGGAGCTTCTCACTATAGCTGAAGTGCTAACTCTGAATTACGTGGAAATACTTAAGAGAATTAGAACCTAACCCTGTTTTATAATCTACTAGAGGTCTGGTGCACAAAATTCATGCACAGGTAAGGTCCCTAGGCCTGGCCAGAGATCAGAGCTGATCTGTGGGGCGACCGTTGAGGTGATTGGGGGGACCCCCACTGGCCCCTGCCTTGGCCAGCCTGCTGCTGCTCGCTTGCCAGCCCTGACCCCGCTGCCATCAATCGCCTCCCTCCGTGGGGCAACTGAGAGATCCCTGCTGGCACATACCTTAGCTGTCCTGGGGCCTGCAGGCTTGGGGCAGCTTCTGCATTGAACATCTGCCCTCTGGTGATCAGTGCACATCATAGTGACCCATCGTCCCACCATCTGTTCCACAGTTCGGATGATTGCATATTAAGCTTGTATTATATAGTAGAGGCCCGGTGCACAAAGTTCATGCACAGGAGTGGGGTATGTCCCTCAGCCCAGCCTGCACACTCTCCAATCTGGAACCCATCGAGGGATGTCCAACTGCCTATTTAGGACTGATCCCAATAGGATTGGGCCTAAATTGGAAATCGGACATCCCTCTCACAATCCAGGACTGCTGGCTCTCAACTGTTTGCCTGCCTGCCTTCCTGATTGTCCCTAACTGCCAGCCTGATCACCCCCTAACCACTCCCCTGCCAGTCTGATTGATGCCTAGCTGCTCCCCTGCCAGCCTGTTTGCCCCTAACTGCCCTTCTCTGCAGTCCTGGTCACCCCTAACTGCCCTCTCCTTGCAACCTGGTCCCCCCCAACTGCACTATCCTGTAGGCCCAGTCACCCCCAACTTCCCTCTTCTGCTGGCCTGGTCACCCCTAACTGCACTCCCCTGCAGGCTTGATTGCCCCCAACTACCCTCCCTTGTAGACCTGCCCTCCCCTGCTGGCCATCTTTTGGCCATAATCTTGTATCCATATGGGGGACACACAACTTGTGTGTCAGAGTGATGGTCAATTTGCATATCATTCTTTTATTATATAGGATGATAATAAAAGCCTGATATGCAAATTGACCAAACAACCAAACAGCAGATCGACCATCTGGAGGACCTTCCAGACGACCATGCAATAACATGCACTGGCACCAGGCCAGCCAAGGTGGGTGCATTGTAATTGGTCGGGGAGGGGAGGGGGGGGCGCCATTGCCCCACAATCACCATGCAGAGGGAGGTGCAGGCCACCCTCTGTGGGGTGATTGTTGGGAGTCGGGGGGCTCCACAATCAGTCAGACCAAAGAGGGAGGCCTTGTCCACCCTCTGCTTGGTAGTCAATCGTGGAGCCCAGGCACTGCAGTGGGTGGGCGGGGCCTTCCTCTGTGCAGCAATTGATTGTCAAGCCCAATTAATTGCCTCAAAGAGGAGGCCCAGGCTACCAGGCTGGCAACACTACAGTGGGGGGTGGGACCTCCCTCTGCTGGGCGATCGATCTGGGGGCCCCACTATCGATTGCCTCACAGAGGGAAACCCAGGCCACCAGCCAGCAATGCTGTGTGAGGCCAGCCAGCAATAGCCCTGCAGAGGGAGGTCAGGGCCAGCCAAGTGATCCCACCCCAGCTCTGTGCCCGCAGAGGGAGGTGACCAGTGACATGGGAGGGAGGAGCAGCACCACACAGATTGTAAGTGGTGGCAGCGGCAGAGGCTGGGCCAGCTGCCGGCACCCAGGGAAAGGAAAGCTCCAATAGGCCCTGATCAGTGGCCAGGCCTAGGGACCCACATGAGGTTCCAGATTGCTAGAGGACACACACTGGGCTGAGGGCCATCACCTCCCTCCCCCCAATTCCCCTCCCCGCCATGTCCACCAATTTCATGAACCAGGCCTCTAGTTAATAATAGTTGAGCATTTATCATAATCCCTGATCTGTAAGAGTATATTATCTAAAGGAGATTATTAAAATGATTAAGATAGACATAAATAAAACTTTGAATGTATAAAGAGGTATATCTGACTTAAATTCACATAAATGTCCACCTTTAGAGTGCAATTCAGGTATTTTCTTTTTATTTCTTTCTTAATTTATCTTTACTGTTGGAAGTACTACAGCTGCCTCCCTTTTTCCTCATTGACACCTTCTAGCCCCCATAATTCAAGTAGTTTTATAAAATTACTTCAGCTTTTAATAATGGCCAGTGTGGCTCTGTTGGTTGGGCATTGTCCTGTGCACCGAAAATTTGCCAGTTCAATTCCCAGTAGGAGGCATGCAGGAGGCAGCTCATTGATATTTCTCACATTGATGTTTTTCTCCCTCTCCCACTCTAAAAAAAAAAAAAAATCAATAAAAAAAAATTTTTTTTTAAGTACCTCATATTGTTTCCGTTGTTCAGAGCACTTAGGGGATGTCTTTTAGGAACTAGGCCATGTTTTCAGGATCTTCAATAATACCATGTGTTTTTCTTTTGAGGTTAGATTTGATATATGAAATAAGAAAAAGAGCATTTAGAAACAAGTTTGATGAATAAAAATGCATGAATAGGTAAATGCCTAAGTTAGATTATAAAAAGCCAAATTGAAGAATAAGTTTGAAAACTTGAAGTCTCAATTAAGTGCATATCTCTAAATTCATCAGACTCACACATGTAACCAAGACTGCTATTTAATCTTTCTGTAAAGGACCCTGACTGGTGACCAGTATCTACTAGTAAACAGTTGCACTATCAATCTTCTTCCTGTCACCATCACTGCTCCCCAGAAGAACCTGCTTCTCCAGAGATACTCACTTTTGTATGAGTGTATTGATTTCTGGATTTATTTATGCCATTTGGGCCTGTTATAATTATACAATTAAATATTTACTTGAATTATTCAAAACTGAGTGTGGCTCAGTATTTAGAGCTTTTGCCTTTGCACCAAGTTGTATTAGGTTCGATTCCCAGTCAGAAGCATGTGCCTGAGATGCAGGTTCAATCCCTGACCCTGGTTAGAGTGCATGCAGGAAGCAGCCAATCTGTGTCTCTCACTTTGATGTCTCTTTCTCACTCTCTCTCCCCCTCCTTCCCCACCTTTTCTCCCTACCCCCCCTTCATTCCTCCCTTCCTCTACTCTTTCTAAAAACCAATAGGAAAAATATCTCAGGTAAGGATTAACAACAATGGAAAAACAATTGAGTTTAAAGAAAGAATTGTTTCTGTAAAAACTATGTTAATTGAAAGAGTTTGATTGATAAGTTAATAAAATCATTATTGAATTACATTTGGATGGAGTAACTATAAAAATTGGAGATATCATATAAATATGTAAGGATTCTGCACCCTAATTGTTTCAGAAGTTCCTGAGTTTTTGGTGTACTTTTTTTAAATTTCAGGTTTCATGATATTTTATAGGCAGGTAGATAAATAATGTGTGTATTTTTTAACCAGAACAACTTGGAAATCAGAGTTGTTTTATGAGTGTGGTTTAAATAAAAGAGAAAGTGCAGAATTTTTAGAACCTCTATTGAAGAAAAGGCATTCACAACTGCATGCATGTTTATGTGTTTTAAATTAAACATTTTAATAATAAATGTATTTTTAATGATTTTCCTCTCCATCTGACTAACCACCAATCCCAGTAAGTCTAAGAATTTCTTCTATATTTACTTAATACAATATTCCTTTCAAACATAAAATCTAGTTTAAAAGCAGATCTATTATTTGACATGAGAGTGAAGCACAGTAATGGTGACAGCATAAATGCAGTTTACTAGTGTTAACTACTTGTTTTTCATTAACATCACCTATGTGACTTATGTGCCTGTTACAGTTGGTTGTGGATAAAAATGCTCAGCTTTCTGAAACATGTGAATAAGATCTGCTTTTATTTTTTAGCCCAATTGCATCTTTGAAAAATCTTGATTATCATTCATATGCTTAAATAAGGTTGTTTTTTTCTTGTACCTTCTTGAAGGTGTGATCCTTATTTCCCTGGCACTATGTGCTGATGCTGTTATTGGAAATGTTCAAGAGAAGGCTATGAAACTGCATAATGCTTCTAACTCGGAAATGGTAAATATTCTAGTGTTTTTTTTCTTCACAGCATACAGACTCAAAATGGTGATATATTTAATTTTATGAAAAGTTATGGTATTAAAGATTGGCATTGCATTTTAAAACTAGGTTATCATTGCCCTAGCTGGTTTGGCTCAGTGAATAGAACATCACCTGCAAGTTTAATTCCGATCAATAGCACATCCCTGATTGCGGCCTCCATTCCCAGTAGGGTGCTTGCAGGAGACAGCCAATCAGTGATTCTTTCTCATCATTGATGTTTCTATCTCACGCTCTCCTTTCTTCTCTGAAATCAATAAAAATACATTTTTTTAAAAACTAATTTATCAGTATTTTTATAAATGTAATGCATTCCAACATAAGAAGGTAAAAAATAAAAATGCTACTACCACTGCTAATAGCTAATGGTATGGTATTTGATAAATTTTTCCTAATGATTATATACTTTTTTACATATTAAAAAGATTCTTTGATTCATCATTTTTCTCCTATCTTTGTATTTGGTATTATTTTCCATTTAGAGTTTATAATTTTTATGTAGACAGGTTTATCTTTTTCTCTTGGCTTCTGGCTATATGTTATGATTGAAACTGGCTTTCCTAACACTAAGATTTAAGAATTTTGCTCATGTTACCTATTAATTTTATAATGTCCATTTTTTTTAATATATTTTATTGATTTTTTTAGAGAGGAAAGCAGAGAGATAGAGAGCCAGAAACATCGATGAGAGAGAAACATCAACCAGCTGCCTTCTGCACATCCCCTACCGGGGATGTGCCCGCAGCCAACGTACATGCCCTTGACTGGAATCTAACCCGGGACCTTTTAGTCCGCAGACCGAAGCTCTACCACTGAGCCAAACTGGTTTCGGCTAATGTCCATTTTTTTAAAATATTTTTTTTATTGATTTCAGAAAGAGGAAGGGAAAGGAAGATTAAGAGAAACATAGAAACATCAATTATGAGAGAGAATCTATTGATTGGCTGCCTCCTGCACACCCCCAACTAGGGATAGAGCCCACAACCCGGGCAGACACCCTTCACTGGAATCAAACCTGGAACCCTTCAGTCCACAGGCCAGTGCTCTATCCACTGACCCAGACCAGCTAGGGCTATGATTTCCTTCTTTATTAAATCTTTGATCTACCCAAAACTTTAAAACTTTCTTCCATATGGTTGTTCACTCATCCCAATATCACTTATTGAATAATCCACTTTTTTAGCTTATTTTAAGTGCCTTTTTTTTTTTTAAGAATTTTTTTTATATAATTTTATATATATATATATATTTTATTGATTTTTTACAGAGAGGAAGGGAGAGAGATAGAGAGCTAGAAACGTTGATGAGAAAGAAACATCGACCAGCTGCCTCTTGCACATCCCCTACAGGGGATGTGCCCGCAACCAATGTACATGCCCTTGACCGGAATTGAACCCGGGACCCTTCAGTCTGCAGACCGACGCTCTACCCCTGAGCCAAACCGGTTTCGGCTTAAGTGCCTTCTTTATTCATATTCTAACATAGCATCAAGAATTATATTTTTTTATATTTATTTCTGCTCCAGAACCATATTGTGGTGACAGTAGTTTTATCCAACATTTACTATCTATTATGACTAGCCACCATTGTTCCTTTTATTTTTCAGAATATTACTACCAATAGTTATTCTTGGGTATTCATGTCCCCAAATAAAGTAAAAGTGCCATTGATATTATGATTGGTATCACATCCTATATAATAAAGCAGTAATATGCAAATTGACCCTCACACCCTCACAAGATGGCTGCCTATGACCAGGCCAGTAGGGGGGTTAGTGAGGGACAACCAAATGACTGAACAAGCAGGCTGAGTGGAGCAATTAGGCTGGCAGAGGGGTTAGTGAAGGATGACCAAATGACTAATAGCAAGACTGCATGGGGCAACCAGGCTAGTGGGGGTGAGGGGAGGAATTGGGGGTGACCAGGCTAGCAAAAGGGGCAATTAGGGGTAACCAGGCTAGCAGGGGATGGCAGTTAGGGGCAGTCAGGCCGGAAGGGGAGCAGTTAGCATCGATCCGGCTGGCAGGGGAGTGGTTTAGGAGATGATCAGGCTGGCAGGCAGAAGCAGTTATGGGTAATCAGGTGGCAGGCAGGCGAGTGGTTGAGAGTCAGCAGTCCTGGATTGTGAAAGGGATGCCCCAGATTGGAGAGGGTGCATGCTTGGCCGAGGGACACACACACACACCTGTGTATGAATTTTGTGCACCGATCCTCTAATTTATATATAAAAGGCTAATGTGCTAACAATTGTCTGACTATTCAACTGGTAGCTATGATGCACACTGACCACCAAGGGTAAGATGCTCAGCACACAGGCACGGAAACATCTCAGAGGGAAGGTGGAAGGTGAGGGCAAGAAGCAATTAACCAAATATATTCATACTAGAGGTCTGGTGCATGGATTCGTGCACTGGTGGGGTCCCTCATCCTGGCTTACGACAATGGGGCTAAATCCACACACCAGGCCTCTGTTATCCCCTGAAGGGTCTCAGATTGTGAAAGGGCACATGAATCCCTGTACCAGGCTTCTAGTTTATTTATAAAATCACAGGGGTAGAAGAAGTAATTTATAAAAGAGATAGGCTTAGGAAACAAGTTAAAAAGGTAACAGAAGGGTCTGTGGAGCTTGGGAGTGAAAAAGTAATGGTAACTAACATGCCTGTGTGGAGGGTTAGGGAAGGGAAAAGCTCACTGGGTACTCAGTGCTAAGGGTTTTAGGGGAGGTCCCAGGAGAAGATCTCAATAGAATATTCAGCAGCTTTGCAGGTGTGTCCTTTCAGTGTCTAGGTCTCCATCAATTGATTGGTATGCACCAGAGCAGGGGGCTTATTAGTCAATGCAGCTGGTCAGCCTTGGTGTTCCTTGTCTGGTTTTGCTGCTTTTCTGGGCCTGGAGCTGAAATACAACTGAGGCCTGGATGTTATCTCTAGGAGGAAAGGTCGGGGAATCCAACTGAAAGGTCACCCTAGGGGTGAGGTCCCACCCTGCAATTGTCCTTTTCTAGGCACCTGGCACTTTCCACCCCAGTGACCTTCTGTACCTGGCCATCATCCTTGCTCTGCTCATGTCTGTCTAATTGCCTACCACAGAACCATATATGAAAGGTTTAGTACTGCTGTGTTATATTGCACATAAAATAATAAAGCATAGACTTTTAAAGAGGATCAACCATCATTTCCAGAAAGTTAAGCCATACTGAAAAAGTGATGTTACTTTAAAAATGATCTGTTCTACAAATTTAATTCAATAGATTAATTGAGCCACATGTTGAAAATCCTTCACCTTTGGATTGATTTACTTTTTTTCCACTTTATTTTTGTCTATTCTAGGTTTTGTATTCGTATTCAATCGGTTTTGTATACATTTTATTGGGATTGACATGCACTAGTGGATTAGGCCCTGCAGTAACATTTTGTTCAAAGGTAAACACTAACCACATTTTAAAAAATAAACATCTTTCATTAGTTTCCTTTTATATATGCTTCCCCTTGTTCATAATACTATTTTTATGTAATTTGGTAATTCCTTTATATGCAGATCAAAAATTATTTCAGAATTGAATGACTTATACTTAAATTTGTTTTATCCTTGCTCTCCCCTGTAATGTTTAAGCTATTACTGATGTAGAAGTTGTGGATTTTAAATTTCATTATTATTTTTCCATTAAATCGGAACTAAATAAGAATCTTTGCTTGACTGCATTGTTTGAACAGCTTATTATTGCTCAAGAAGTTGATGAAAATGTGGTTTTATTTCATTTGTAATACCTCAGGGTTTGTTTTGCATTTTTCTCACAGGCTTTTTTATATGTTGCAGAATCTAATGCGAACCTATGGTTATGCTTTTCTTTTTTCCCTCACTGGATATTTTGGAATTTCCTTTGTTCTGGCTTTGATTAAAAATTTCGGTGCACTTCTTGCTGTAACAGGTAAGAATAATATACTTGCTTAGATTCTAAAATAAGCATTTAAATTTTTTCTAATGCTCTTTTTCAAAAGATAAGGATAATTCCTAAACTTCATTAAAAAGAGAATTGTCATATTTTACCAATTTATTCCTGGGCTTAAAGTATGTTTTTTTAATTCTAAAGAAAATTATGTTTAATCTTAATTTCTTATCTGAAAGTTTAATTTTAAAGTCAAACATATGCATTTATCGAGATAGTAACCTTTAAATACATTAAAATAAATTCTTATTTAAAAGCATAATGGAAGAACATCTTCATTGAAACATAGTTGCTTTATACACTTTATAACTGGAAATCTCAGTTTTGTTGAAGTTAAAGTATGACAGATCTGTTTTGAACAAAGCTTTTTGGACACTTGCCAGGACATCAACCAAATGAGCTTTTCTTTTCACTAGCAATTATTAGGCACCTGCTCAGTGCGGGGAGTTTGCTTCCACTTTAGAGACATGGAATTTGTATTTGTTCCGCTGTGGGGGAGTGAGGAAGACAAATAAGGGGCTCCAGGTGAGACCTGAAGAGGGCAACAGATGGCTCCCGGTACTACCTTGAATTGTTTGCCACGTGAGCAGTACAGAGGATGAGTGCTCTTGGCGTCTCCCATGTGGAGAGAGCCCTGAAGCCAGGATTGCAAGAAGTGGAAGAGCTCTGGCTTGCGTGTCAGAGAAGGTAGAGCCCAGTCCCAGCTCTGATGCAGGTTAATGATTGTGACCTGGAGAGTGAGTCTCTCCTCTTCTATGGGCTTCATTTCTCTCTTTTGGGAATGAATTGATTGAACTCGATTTATTTCCAGCCGAGATCTGTAGAATTTTAATTCATAATGCATATATAAATGTATATTAGTCAGTTTATCTGATTTTAATTTTCTATGGTCCTAAAGAAACATATAATTTAATACCTCAGAGCTAAACAAATGAACAAATACCTCTGTCTTTGTAAGAGTATATTTACTTTCTAACTTTTCTCTTTATTTGCTCTGATGTGACTCTCCTTTTTAAAATTTACATCCCTACTGATAAATAGAGGGAATTTGTCTATGGAATAGGCCATATTACTAATTATTCAATTTACCTCATGCTGTCAAGAAAGATTGCAAATTCATATACTTAGCTTGGGTTCCAATTTTGCTTGTGAGATAGTATTGTTTTAAAAACAGTTACTTATATCAATTGGTATGCATTTATTGAACCCTGAGGTTCATGTAAAGAAATATGAGCCCCGGCTGGCTTGGCTCAGTGGTTAGAGTTTGCCGCAGACCAAAGGGTCTCAGGTTCCATTCCCAGTCAAGGCACATGCCTTGGATGCACGTTTTACAGAGCTGTGCAGGATGCAACCAGTCATTGCATCTATGCCACGTGGGTGTGTGTCTCTCCCCGAATTCTCCCCCTTTCCCAATCTCTCTAGAAGTCAATGGGAAAATAAAATATCCTCAGGTTAGGATTAAAAAAGAAAGAAAAGAATTGTGAGATGCAGTCTGGTCTTGAAGGGTCAGGCTGGACTATTTCTAGCTTGTGAAAAGAAATCCAGAAGTGATGATAATAATTATAGTTAATGTGCACATAGCCCTTATTTTGCACCAGTCACTATTTTATTTAGTTTACATATATTTTATCTTATCTTTGCTCTTACCCCATGTGATATACTGCTTCTTAAGCTGGTGTGGTGTTTCTCATTAGGAATCTAGGCTTCTTCTATGTACTCTGCCATCTAATCTTCATTCCAGTCAGTGAGATGAAGAGAAGATGAAATACACAGTTCTCTTTATGGAAATTTCCTATAAATCACACTCCTAGAGACACATTTATATAATAACAAATGTGTTATTCTCACATTTTCATTGGCCAGAATCTAATCACATGATTATACCTAGTTGTAGGAGAGGCTGAAAGGTATGTCCATTTAAAAAAAAGGAGGAGGGAGGGGCATTTACTAAAGTAAAAGAAAAGATAGATTTGGGAATCAGGCTCTGATACATATTTCCAAAACAGTTTCTTCATTTGGTATTCATTCATTGTTGAACAATAAGTGCTAGAATTATAATCTGGGAATGTAAGGATGAATGAGACAAGGAATTAACTAAAGTGCACAGTCTATTGGGAAGATAGCGACTGATAATGAAAAGTAAAGGAAAAGCCGTAATGGCGATACCTGCAGTTTCTTATATCCGTCTGGGTAGGGCTAGGGAGGAAGGTTTCAGGCCTTGCAACAGACTTCATCTGAAGTAATGACTTCAAGGATAAGTAAAAGTTAATACAGATAAAGAAGAGTGTAAGGATTATCCATCAGCTTAATCAGAGATGACCACTATTAAGATATTAGATTGCTACTTTTAAAGAATAACCCCTAATCATATCTTCTTTGGGAAAGCTTTGCTTCCCTATCAAACTAAGTCTCTCTAAGGCAAGGGGGAAGGTCCCACCCAAGGGCCATATAAGCCAGCAGAATCATTTGGTCTGGCCCTGCCAACGCATTGGGAGTTAGTTAATTAACTGTTTGACCAAATATAGCAAGCTAATTTTTAAGTTGATAATTTTGCTTGGCCCACTTATATTATAAATATCGAAATTGCCCTTGGTAGAAAAAGGTTCCCCACCCCACATATGTCTCCTTCATGTCATGGCCTCCATGTATTTACTACATGGCCTCAAGTATTTACTATAGTTGTGCTTTAACATTTATCTGTAATATGTATAGTCTGTACCCCTACTAGACTATAAATTCCATAGTAGTAGCAACTTTTTTTTAACATTTTTTTAAAATATATTTTCATTGATTTCAGAGAGGAAGGGAGGAAAGAGATAGAAAAATCAGTAACGAGGGATAATCATTGATTGGCTGCCTCCTGCACGCCTTCTACTGGGGATTGATTGAGACTGCAATCTGGTCATAGTCTCTGACCGGAAATTGAATCATGATTTCCTAGTTCTTAGGTGGCCACTCAACCATTGAGCCACACAGGCTGGGCTGTTTGCTTTTTGCTTTCCATTGTTACCTTGCAACTCATATAGGTCCTAGCACATAGTAGGCTTTGTAAATATGTTGAATGAATGATTTCCAAAATATTTCCAGGATAATAGGCACATTCTAAACCAACCTTTCTTCCTACAGTGACAACAGGAAGAAAAGCAATGACCATTGTACTTTCATTTATATTCTTTGCTAAGCCATTCACATTTCAGTAAGTATTTTTAATTCAGTAAGTTTCTCAGCTTTTAGATAACTTTTTTTTCATACTTCTTCTGAAACAGCCTTAATTTTTTTTATAACTGTATTTTGTATCTCTGTCATTAATTTATTGATGTCTTCTGTTTCAGAAATTTATGTAATTATTTTGAAGAAATCATATTGTACACTTAATTCTCAACCAGAGTCCCAGGGCAAATGTGATCCTGTTTGAATATAAACGAATATGAGCTGTGTGTTGAGATTAAGGGATTCATTCCCCCTTGTCCTAGTGCAAATACATAAATTATATATATATATATTTTAAATTATTGGTTTATTTCCTGCCTTTTCCCACAATGGAGTGAGGTAGAGAAGAATTCTATCTGTTGTGCCCTAATAATTTAGTTACTAGTTTGTGGCTTTTTGTGAAAGCCTTTATTGTTTTCTGTAATGTTAAGATGTGTTTGAAATTAGCATCATTTAAAGCAATGATGCTAGCAATTCCTAATCAGTCAGATCTAATCTAATCTAAAGAATCACTTACCTTGATTAGGAATTGAGAAGATTCAAACCTAGAAATTATCAATGTATAAAATTAAAGGTAACCACAAAATAAGTTTCCATCTATGTATTTTGTTTTCTATAAATTGATTACTCTTTCTACATGTGGTAGGTATACATTATCCAAAAATTCAAATAAACTATATTTAGTAATTTGTAAAATACCTTATTTCTATATAAACTTAACATAAAATATGAAATTCTAATCAGATCTAAAACTATCTTTGTTTTAAAACTATTATTGCAGGTATCCCATTTCAAAATTTTATTTTATTGCATGGTTTTTGTGAATTTATCGCCAAATTCTGTGGTGAATGATAAATTGTTATCTTAATATTAATCTTTTTTTTAATACATATTTTTTTCTCTTAGGTACATATGGTCCGGTTTGTTAGTTGTCCTTGGTATATTTCTCAATGTTTACAGCAAAAATATGGATAAAATAAAACTACCATCAATATATGATCTGATAAACAAAACAGTGGAAGTGAAAAAATCAAGGACGTTGGCACAAACTGTATAGGCCGTGATGCCTGCTGTTTAATATAGAATTATAAGGGACCAGTGGTCAATTAATCAACTTGCCAAAGGGATTATTATAAAAACCAAAGGAACTGACAGGCATTTGTGACTGGATTACATATGAAGTCAGCCCTTTTCCTCAGAGCACTTGTTTGACTGTTTGGCTCCTGAAGCAATCAAGAGAGCAGCATCTGTCACACCTTACAATAATGTGTCAATATAAAAGACTGTAATTTTGAGCAGTTTGTTGAGAATTTCACTGGAAATGTACCATAGTGTAAGACTAATTAGATATTATTATGGCATATCAGAGAAACTGATATGTAATAGACTGTTTGTCTTCATTCCATTTTAGTGGTATTTAAATTGATTCTCTGTTATAAGAGTAAAACTGATGATTTAAAGTCTAATGATAATAACTTCATTATAAATAAAAATTATTCTGTGATTATTTTATTAAAGAATGTGTTGACAGGATTTTGTTACAAAGAGGGAAGTGAAGATTGGAGTAAGGCTTTAAAATTTAGGGCTTTCTCTGATAACTTAAAAATATCCTTTAGAGAAAACATGCTTTAATTTTTCCAGTATAGTAAAAGGAATCAATATTCTGCACCCTGTAAGTATATATCACAAGAAAAATTTGCCACTATTCATCAAAGGGGTACTAAAAGATTTAATCATTTGGGATTCTTTAATTGAAGGGAAAATAATTGATGTCTTAAATTATAAAATTATAAAATGCCATCATTTTTCTTATACAATTTAATTTGGAATTTATTTTGTCAGGTTGCAGATGAAATAAGGTAACCTTAAGAAATACAAATAGATACAGCAAATTTGTACAGTTTGTTGCTTGCACGGTTTGAGTATAAACTAAGATTTTTTGCCCTTATGTTTTATCAGTGAGTTTTTGGGATTGCTTCTACTATATTTTTTAAAATGCTACCAATCTTCATTTTCAGTGTAAGCAATGTAGATTAAAACATATTTGTGCTGTTGGTGATATTATTTGTATTTTGTCAGTATAATACACTTGGAATATTTAATCTCAATTCTTAAAATTCTATTGTATGGTGATATGTGCATTTGTACAATAGAGCTCATGATAACTTAAGAATCTAGCATAAGGAATTCGGACTGGTTTTTATTTGTTATATGTTAAAATACTGTGGGTGTTTTATTCCCAAATGATAATCAGTTTTAAGTTTCCATTTCAAAATGAAAAGAATCGTAATTTCTACTTTATAATGCTGCCTTAAACTCTAAGACAACAAGAATTTGTGCTTTAAAAAAAGTTATTTTTTCCAAATCCTTGATAAAATAGTATAATTTTAATTTAATATGGACACCATTTACCTCTATGCTTTTCTAATTTTTTTTACCACTTTTTGCCTATTTGAAACTCATGACTATCCAATTTTAAACTGTTCAGCACTGTTTAAACATCAGTTCTCCAGCCTAACCCTTTATACTCCATTTCCTTTTTCTACTTGCCATCAGATGGAGATAAACTTTATCTCACTTATTTGTATCCATGGAATTGTATTAATGAATAGTCCGACATATAGAATAATTTCTAGAGTAAAGGAAATCAACATTTGAATGTATATTTGTACCAGATTTTATTATATGATCTTTGATTTAATATTATCTCATGTCATCCCAACAACCAAATAATAACAAGGGAATTTAAAGTAATAATTGAAATGATTAATGTTTAAGTGTTTGGTAGGTGTCAGGCACTATTATATAAGTGCTTTATGTGTAATAACTTACTTAATCCTCACAACATCTCCATGAGGGTATTTTCCTCCTCTTATAGATGAGGAAGCTGTGGCCCCAGGGAGTAAGCGACATTCCTGGCCTTGCCTAGCTGCCAAGAGCCAGAACTGTCTGTTAAGCATTCTGGTTCCAGAGTCCATGCTCTTAATCACTATATTGCCTCTCTCAGTAGATATGATTATTCATGTTCATATTTTTGCAAATACAGAATTGGAAGACAGTTCATGATGACATAATTGTTATGGGATATTTTCTATTCTTTGAACCACCCTATGAACATTTAAGTAACCCAAAGTAACATATTAAGTGATGAGGTACCTTTCAATAAAGAATTTGAGACATAAGTCAATGAATAAGCAAAGATGTTTTGCTTGGAATATTTGTTAAATACAGATAAATGTGTGTCTTAAGTAGTATTAGATATAAATTGTTTCTTCAGCTATGTTCACATTAAGTGTATATCATACAGTAGGCATTCTAAATATCTGTGTCAGTCAAGACTAAGAATATCAAAGAATATCATTAGATCAAAAAAGATAATTGGATAAATGACATTCTGTATTTTGCCATATTATGTCCCATTCTTCGGCATATTCAGTCAACAAAATACATAGAAGAATCTGGCTAACTCTTGTGGATCACTGTATTAAGATTGGATCTAGTGGTGATACAGAGCCCTCAGGAAGGCCATGTTGTGTAATAAAGAATCTGGCTAACCTTTGTCCCTGTACTCTGGAGGGGAGATGTTAATCCTTATAATTTCCCAAGTGTTGGGAGTGTCTGTTACTCTTGGTGAGCCCTTAGATAATGACAGGGTAGAGACTGATCATGCTACAAAGACTAACCTTGTGACTATAGGGTTGGGGTTTTGAAGCACTTTATATCAGCCCAAACTGGGGGGGGGGGGGGGGGGGGGGGGGGGGAGGGTGGCAGGGAGGAGAGAAGGTGTTTAAAGATAGAGTTCAATCATGTGGCCAATGATACAGTCAGTCATGGCTGTGTAGTGAGATCCCAATAAAAACCCTAGACACCAGCTCTTTGGAGAGGTCCACTGCTTGGAAATATATATTGATATAACAGGACGACTCATCCTGAAAACATGGAAGCCCAGTGTTTTTTACTCTCCCAACTCTTGCTCCATGGGAATCTTGTCAGGTCCTGGTTTTTATTCTTTATAATAAACTAGTGGAAATTATAGTGCTTTCCTGAATTTTCTGAGTTCTAGCAAACAGTCAAATGTGAGGGGATAAGGGGAACCCCTTGAATTTGTAACCAGTTGGTAACAGGTGTGAATAGCCTAGGTCCTCAGGGGTTGCAGCTGGTGTCTCACGTGAGGGCAGTCTTGTGGAACTTGATCTAACTCCAGGTAGTTAGAAGTTCACTGCAGGCTTTATGCTCAATAAATGTTTTTTAAATAATTATTAGTATCTAAATAGATACTAATCTAAATCTCTTAATTTTCTCAAGTGATTTCTCTTAAATCCACTTTGCATTCTAGATTCTGACTTGGTCAAAAAGAATTTTAGTAAGATTTAACTAGGATAATGGACCAATAATATGGCTTAGCATAATGAAAATATTTATGCATTTCATCCTAGCCAGTTTGGCTAAGTGGATAGGCATCAGCCTACGGACCAAAGGGTCACAGGTTCGATTCTAGTCAAGGACACATACTTTGGTTTCAGGCTCCTCCCCAGCTCAGACCCTGGTCAGGGTGCGTGCAGAAGGCAACCAATTGATGTGCATCTCTCACATCGATGTTTCTCTCTGTCTTTCCTTCTGTCTTCCACTCTTCTAAAAAATCAATGGGAAAATACCCTGAGGTGAGAATTAACAAAAAATAAAAATAAAATGTACATTTCTATATCACATTTGCTCTGTAAACTACACAGTTATCAATTTACCAGTTTATGCATAGTATTGCTCAGGATCTTTGTTATATGCTGCCTTTCTAATGAAGCATATGACAATTTTTCTCAATATGTTTGAGCAAAATTGTTTCATATTTTCACTTATTCTTCTCATGTCTATATTGAATGGCCTTGTACTTGCCCACTGAGCCAACCATCTTAACCTTTTTAACAAATTGTGTAGCATCACTGACTTGACTGTTCTATTTTTATTTAACATCATTTATCCTTCCATTCTCACTAGGCCAATATTAGCTAGACATTATATGAGATGCTGAGCATGCAGAAAAGAATCTATCACCAGTCTTATAGCATACCCATTCTAGAAAAGATTGCTGTGATATCTATTTAAAAATATATTACTATCCCCAGCCAGAGTGGCTTAGTTGGTTGAGCATCATCCTATGCACCGAAAGGTTGCCAGTTCAGTTCTGGCTAGGGCACATACCTGAGTTGCAGGTTTTATCCCTGGTTGTGCACAGAAGGAAGGCATCTAATAGATGTTTCTCTCTCTTCCCCTTTCTCTTTCTAAGTTTGTCCTCGGATGAGAATTTAAAAAATTAAAAATACATGTAGGGTATCTCGTTAACATTTATGTGTTTAAAATAATAATTCCCCACAGTGGTAGGGATTGTAAAATTTTCATGTGTATGTCAATCATCTGAAGATCTTAAAAAGGAGGATTTTAATTTAGTAGGATTGGCTTGGGGCCTGATATTTTGCTCCAACAAGAAGCTGATGTTGTTGGTCCATAGACCACACTTAAGTCTCAAGGTCTTAGAGAATAAACTCCAGACGTTTGCAGAACCAGGACATCTTGAATTATTTGAGTAATGTTTTTCTGATTTCCTTCCATTTCCTAACTTCCCATTCGGTGTAACCTAATCTGATTTAAGAGACTTTCAGAGTTTCTTTGTCCAAATGCAACAGAGTTGCTTGCATAAGTGAAAAGATTTCTTGAGTTATTGTGAGTGTATAAAAGATTTAATATTCATTACTTTCTCCATAAATATTCCTTTTTAAAATATCCATGAAAGTAAGATAAAACCCATAATTTCCCACCAGTCATGGTCTGTTGTTTTAATTTCATGGCATGTAGTTAGAGTACTTTTTGTGCTGTTCTGCAGTGACATGAAGAAAAGGTTCGCTTCGGTGGTTCACCACTGCTTTAGAAGGGACGACTCCAGCGGGTTCGGGAAGTAGGACTTTACACTTAAGGGATTCTTTTGAGACTTTAATCACAAAATGTTTTATTAAATATCTTAATCCTGTGATACCCCCAACATTTCTAAAATATAATTAATTTCAA